TTTTTTTTTTCATTTTTTCTCTTACTTTTTTCATGTTAAATCAGGCTTTAACTTACGAAATAACTTTTATGTTAATACAGGCCGTTGCAGGAATCATTGTCCAAAGGCACTTTGTCTCACAGATAGACTCGGTATTATAATCTTCTTAACATCTCTATGGAAATTGTTATGAATCATGTAGGAGTTCTCAGCTTCTAAGAGTTTTCACTTAGCTTATTGATACTTGTAGTTACGTTGCAAAGGTTTTTCTCTTTGTGCAGAATTTCTCCAGTTATTTCACATATTCTCTCTTTTCATTTGTTTTTTCTTTTTAAATTTAACATGCATGGTGTTGAATAAATACCAACCCTTACAAATACAAAGCCTTTTTGAACTCCTATAAATAAGATAGCAAATCCTTTTTGCTAATAAGAGTTGCTCAATATTTTCTAAGTTCCTGATCTTTATTCTGCTCCTATGTTTCTAATTTCCCGTTTCGACTCCAAATTTGATGCTGGTTTCCAAGAATTCGAGCTGCAAGTCATCAAAACTTATTATCTCCTGACTTTATATTGTAGTTGTGCATGTAGAATGAGAATATGGTCCCACATTGAATATTTCATTGAAGAAGCATAATATGAACAAACAGCCGGAGGCTACTTTTGTTTAGTTCACTCACTTTCCAATATCCTGCCAACTTTCTTACATTTTCAGCTACTAAATTTTCAGCCTCGTATTTGTTTGTCCATGTCCTAGTTAGGGGAAAAACAAGTGTATAAAGTGAAATAGTGAGATCTACATTGTTTGAGCAACACACATATTCTTGAAAATGGTTGTCAGTTTATTCTAACCACCTAGTAAAAAGTGATATAAGATGTCAAAAATACTGTCAACACCCAATTTGTAGTTTTAAAATAGTATTCCTTATTTTTGACAGGACATGCTTTGTGCAATTGCTGAGCTTGAAAGTGATAGGCAACCTCTTGCGACAAGCTATAACAAAAAATATGAAGAGGTCAAGATGGGGATTATGCAAATCTCGCCGAAAATTGCAGAGTGGCTAATAAGGTAACAGTAACTTCCGGAATCTTCCTTTTCCTGAAGTAGTACTACTCCTATAATATGTTCCTCCATTATGGGATTATTAAAAAGAGAGAAATTTTTTTGTCTTTCCTGCAGGGAGTTGGATTACAGGGCCTATCACACGCTCGAGGACCCAAGACTTCTGTATAAGCCGTTTCTTAATGTTTATTTTGCAGCAGCCTATCTTAAGTGGCTATCAAACCTTGACCAAAAGTAAGTTGATGAGGATTGGAGTTTCTGTAATCTGAACTTTCTTCTTGAGATATTCTTGTCTTTTCCTATTTCCCCTATGTTCTTTGGTGCCGGAATTTATTTGCATAGAGTATATTTTTTGGGAAAGAAGTTCATACTATAGAACATTGATTTGCAGGGAAAGAAGTGAAGAGTTCATGGTTAGGGCTTATAAAGGTGGTACAAAGAAAGCTACTCACAAGTCAACTTTGCCATATTGGAGAAAGTATCTTTCTGTTAAAGAAAGTCTTCCTTCCAGGTACACATTTTTCCTCCTTGACGAAGATTGACTAATTGCATGTTTGCATGCTGGAACAGGTTAATGTGAGAACAATGGAACATAACATATAGGTTCAATAGCCACGTGGAATTAAACTGTTTCAACTTTATATCCTATTCCTTTGAAGATTTGCTTATTTCTTCAAAATTTACTATAGTTTTAGTCTTTACGCTTGCACCCCCTAAGATGTACGTGCGTGAATATACTAGAAAGAAGCTTGATGATAACCACTATTTGCATCACGAGAATGAGTAAGCGTCTCTGTGCTTTCATTAGTTGGACTATAACCGGTTTAAGCGGCATTTTGTATTTGCTTCTTATAGTTTCAAGTTTGTTAAGCTGGGCGAATTTAATTGGTATCTGTTTTAAGTGCTCTAACTAGCGTACCCTGGGTGTTTTCATGGTCAAATGAACACCTTAATGATGCAGAAAAGCTTTTGGAGTTGGTCCTTCTCCTATTATTATTACTCCTTCCTTTGATGCTGCAGTTTCACATAGCAAAGGTGCGGTGTGTACTTCAACTTAATTACAACTTACCATTTATTGTGTTATTATTGTCAAGGATTAGTTTTGGGCTATCTGGAACTTGCATATCCCCTGGTATTTATAGCTTGTATTTGTTAATCGTGGTTGAAAAGTTAATTTTCTATTTTAATAATAGCTTCATAAAATGCTAGAATTTGCTAACATTAAGATGTCTAATTTCGAATTGATCACAAATCTTTAGCATGTGAAACTAGCTCAATTTTTTACCTCAGATTATATCAACTGCTTATACTATATTTTTGTCATTTGCTTTATGTTTGTACAGGACCGGAACCTGTCAATACAACTTGGGACTCAAGGACTTCCCCTGAAGACATGGAAGAAATGTGGAACAATCCTGAGATAAACAAGGAATGGACGAAATCCGGTGAGAGAAAAGGGAAAGTACGATTCTCTCATGATATAGAAAAGCATCCTTACCTTTCTCGAGTGGAACTGAAGGTGAGAAGGCCTGTATGGTTTCTCATTTTCATGGAAATCTGATGAATATTTTGGAAAATGAAAAATTCTGCATAAATTTGGGTTTCAAAATATGGTGTAGTGCGTTATTTCATTAGATCCTGTTAAGAAGAGCGAAGAACTTGTAACTAGGCTTACAATCTGAAGTACAAGAAGACAATCTTTGGTACTGATGATTCCAGCGTGTTATTCTGTCATAAAATGAATTCATGGGAACTGTAGTGAACAATCACAAGTCAGTTCAACAAGATGGTATTTTTTAAGAACATTTTGACACGAGTTCAGAGATAAGCAAAACTATAACTAATTATTCTAAGAGCTTTCTCAGTGCATGTTTTTGTGTTTAGTCCATGTGCTTCTGTTGTCCGTAGGTTAATGCAATAGTATTAACTTATGACCTTGTTGTCTCTTAATCTGTTAGCCAAACTATTCATTAGCTAGCAGAGATGATCAACTTCTGTTTTAGATACTAAGACACCTTCAATCTAGTTTTTACTTTTTTCTTTCTTTTGCAGGCGGTTGCACAAATCATTTTGGCTAAGCACTTCAGCACCAAACGTGTAAAACCTGTCAGTATTTCACCTTTAGTTTACAGTTTACTCAGTAGTATGGGGAATGCCTTAAGAGATGATTTGCACAAATCATCTTGGCTAGGACATTCTATTTCATCCATTCAGTAGTATGGAGAATGCCTTTAGTTATTAATGATGTTTTTTTGTCATGAATATGTCAAAGTTATTATGAGCTCTTGACGCATCTGTGACGTTATGTACTTACTGCCTGATTCTTTTTCACTCACTTTCTAGGTAAGAAAAATCATCATACCTTCTAAGGTTAATATACTCTGGTTCTTTCTCTCTTTTTTCTTCTTCTTTTCCTATTGGACAGTCTGTTTTATGTGCTCTCTCCGAGATGGTTAGCATGCGGTTCGTGAATGGAGTTGGTCAACGCACAGGACTTATGGGAATCGACTATCCCACAGCACATTGGCTCGACAAGTACGTGTCCTCAAAATTTCGCTAATGCATATGAAACATAAAAAAAAGGGAAAGAAACAATAAAAGAAGAAAAAAAAAGAAGCTAAATTTTGTCTTTTCATTATTTTGGTTGAGATGGTGAATATCAACTAATTAGAACTTGAAAGCAACCAGAAGTCAATAAAGTTGTAACCTCATGTTTCTTATGTGCAAGTTAACACGTAAACCATAATGCCTCTGTGCTATAGTTCAGTGACAATATGCCAAACCCAAATTCCATCTTTAGTTTTCTTGTCTTCACAAATGGTGTTTTTATTCAGTTCTATACTGACTATGCTTTTTGGAATTTGATGCTTTTGATGTCTAGGCATGGATGCTACAAAGCTTATAAGGTGGAGTCTACGGAAGATCTTACCAAGCCGTTCGTCTCAATGTACTTTGGTGCAGCCTATATGAACTGGTTATCAGAATATGAAGGAAGGTATGTTCATATATAATAGTATGACAATAAAGAATGTGAAGTTATTTCATATTGTCTAGAAATAGTTGCAAAAACTACCCCAAGACTTGGAGTACACTTACAAAAGAACCCTGTGAACATTGAAGTTGCAAAAAAGCTTCTAGTTTAAGTCTACACCTCACTTGGAGGGGAAAAAGCTGTTTTGTGTTCTTTCTTAATTACGTCACAGCTTAAGATAGTTTTTCACTTGAGACTTTTAATTCTTTTCTAGTTAATAGGCTATCTAGATTTGTTGTTACCTACTTAGAATTGGTTATCTTTTGGTAGGGAAAGAGATCTCCAATTTGTTGTTCAGGCCTATCTCTCGGGTCCACAGAATGTGAACCTTCAAGAAGCGAGTCCTTTGTGGGTTAAGTTTGAAGAAGCATTGAGCCGGTACCAAGGAACAAGAAGGTTAGTATCATGATGCTTTTTTTTTTTTTGATTTATCCATAAATTTATATTATATTACTTTATAAGCTTCATGTTTCACACGAGTGCGTTGATATGATGATCAATGGCTATCTACTGATGCAGGGATAACAATGGCAGCTGCACCATTATGTGAAGCTTCTAACTAAGTCGCATTCGGATGGAAGAATTTGTAGCCTCAAAAGGAGGGAACCTTTGGAAATGATTTTCAATTGATGATAATATCGTTTCCTGTCAAGTACGGTAAAAATATAGCTCGAAATACGACCTGAGAATTTCAAATCCATTTTATTGCGAAGATTTGAAAATTCTTGGCTTTCAAATTCTTTTCGTCAGGATGGCAACCATAGAGTTTCATGTCACTCAGTACAAAAATAATCCACACGAACACGAAAAAAGAAAAAAAAAAAATCATCAAATTTTCTGTCCAAGGCAAAATGTATTTATCATAGTAGCTTTGCCTATATGAATTGAAGAGCTTGTGTTTGGAGATAAAATACTCGAGGTTGATGTATTAGGGGGTTTTTGGAATGAACTGATTGTAAATATAGCTCGAGCTAATGTCAACTTGTTTTAAATGCTTGGTACCTCAAAATGATGCCCGACAATATAAACTTCTTTTTATTTTTCTCTGCAGGTTTATTTTAGAAAGTTAAATACCTCTCATTATCTGTTCAATTTTTTCCTAGTTAATACGAGTGGAAAGAGAGCTGCATATCTTGTGGTATATCGTTGCCAATGGTAAATGATTCATAAAATTTTGATCAATAAATATTTGTGTCATATTTCAACATTTTATTGAAAACTAACAAAGCACCTGCATAATTACTCAAGATCCATGTAAACATTTCTAAGAAAGAATAATCAAATGATTCACGCTAAATTCCACCTCAAATTTTTGAAATGCATCTTGAACTGTTGAGATATGACTTTTCTGTCTAAAGAGCTAACATTCCACCACCACTATTTGAATTTGCATGTATCAGCCTTTTAGAATCTATAGCACAAACCCTTCTGTCTCAAGTCTAGGATCAAGAGTTTTGATTTTGAGTATGATCTTCTTATCACCTTCTCCAAATAGCTCTTATAACAAACCAGAATCTCACCTCTTACCTCATGTCTCTAACAACTCTTTTACCCAATGAATTGAAGTGTTTGCACCAGGTTCCAGAGTGAGGGTACCCTTACCCACATTCGATATCCAGGGTCAACCCAAATTCTAACAGACTTACCATCTCGTACCTCAAGTTTAAAACTCTGAATTTATCCCTTGCATGCATCCAGTTAGACTAAATCCAAGAAGCACCAGAAGTCTCTGTCATTCCAAGATAAAACAGTTACCTGCCCTTAAGAACTTTTCTCACAAGTAGATTTGGCTTAGACATGATTCTTAAATTTTCTTCAATATGAGTGCTTCATTAAACAGTTTGATGTCCTTGAAACTCAATCCTCCTATCTTCTTTGGTAGGGTGATAAGGTTCCATGCCTTCCAGTGCATACCTTACTTAATCTCTTCTCCTTTACTCCACTAGAATCCTGGACTCAATCTTGCTATTTCCCGATACTCATTTAGGTAAACAAAAACAGGGCATACAGAAGGGAGGCTTAGTATCAATGACAACCTTTATCAACACTTCCGTCCCATCACTTGAGTGGAATATATTTTTCTAATTAATCAGTTTTTGTCTCACAACGTCTAACACAAATTCAAAAGCTTCATTCTTTGATCTTACAATACTGACGTGAAGTCCTAGGTATTTAGTTGAATTGTGAACCTAAATCCTATACAAAACTAAGCATATGTTTTGTTGCAGACTCCGTAGGATATTTTCAAAAACTTATTAAGGATTTGGCCAGATTCACTTTTTGTTTGGTGAATCTTTTATATTTGGATAGTAAAGTCAGAATCAAATGAGCATGTGACAATCAACGACACTGAACACCATTGAATCATCAACAAATAGACAGTGAGATATTTGAGGTCCTGATCTAGAGATTTTAAGTCCTTTGAAATTACCCCTAATTGTTTCAGCATTCAAGCACATAGTTCAAGGGAAACCGAGCTGATAGCACAATTAGACCACCTAATAAAATAGACTAATGTGAACACACACCATAACAGATAATAATGAATATAATTAAGATAAAAAAGGTGTTGGAGTATCACTTGTGAGTTGTCCAACATTGATTTTATAAGGAAAATGAGCCTAGTATATAAGCTTAGTGAGCTACTACTCCTCACATCACCAATTGGTTTTGGGATAGAACCTCATTATGGTGCACCTAGGCTCACCCTCTTATCGTGCGTTTAATCTGTATGTGACCGCACCTTCTTGCCCCGATTCTCTATTTTTACATGGTATCAGAGCCAGGCCGACTCCTGCCTGGGTTTCTATATCTACCCGATATCTCTACCCGGCCTGCTCTGGGCTTGGACTTACGAAGAACTCACACGTGAGGGGGCGTGTTGGAGTATCACTTGTGAGTTGTCCCACATTGATTCTATAGGGAAATGAGCCTGGTGAGCTACTCCTCCCATCACCAATTGGTTTTGGGATGGAACCTCATTATGATGCACCTAAGCTCACCCTCTTATGGTGCGCTCAATCTGCGTGGGACCACACCCTCTTATCCCGATTCTCTATTCTTACAGAAGGACACGTGATCAACATAATTGGACAGTTTGAGCACTCGGGTAGTATGAATTAGATTGGGCACTCAAGCAGCCAGTCAGGCAATCTTGTCTAACAAAGTAACACCCTTGTATAAAAGGGAAAGGTATTATCATTTACACTCTACAACTCTTATATACATACAATTATACAAATTTCGTACTGTTCATTGTTTTCTCAATCAGTATTTACTGACTTAAGCATCGGAGCTTCTACGCCAGGACAACCTCAAAACTGTTTTGCAGGTCATTTTATCGGGGACGAATCCAAAGTCGTTCAGCCAGGTCGAGGTCGTTTGCTACTACCATTACTTCTTCATCAGCGTGTCTTTCCCCCATCCTTGTTGAATTATTCTAATTCCAGTTATGGTACATTCCTTGGATTTTGCTTACTTCGAAAATAGGCAAACCAATCTGTTCAATAATGGTAAGAATAAAACCAGTCAGTCCAGCCGCTACCGCCCATACATCGTTTTTCTTCTTCTAAATTCCGCACTTTTCATTTGCCTTTTCCCCACAATTATGTCGGTTTCTATAAAGCAATAAATTGAATAAAGTTGTTTGAATTCCAAGCAATAAACTTGTGATGCAATGAGTTATTATTAGCATGGACCAACTTCCCAATCATCACTCCTTTTACTTGTTAAAAAAAGAGAAATATGTTATTACCATTTGTGGATGTCGTTATAGGTCGGTCGGTCGGTCGGACTTATTGTTCTTATACTTTTTTTTTTTAATAGTTAATCAATTATGTTTGTGTGTAAAAATTTGTACACACTTGAATATAATCTTGTATGTATGATTTTGTTTGAATATTTTATTCTAATGAATCTCATCCATTACATAAATGTATAAGCTAGTGCTAGTATTTATACATATACTTTCCACATTTACCTTTGATTTTTTTATTTTATGAAATAGAAACCGTCCCAAATCAATGATTTTTTCTTCCTTTTTTTTTTTGTTTGTCATCTCAACAAATATTAATCGAGTCAAGTGGATCCGAGCTTTTGCGCGCTTCAACGGATCAAACTCGAGCTGCACTTTATAATTGTTTATTAAACGAGAACAAACTCAAATAAAAATTACTCATATCGGATAGAATGATACTCATAATCAATCTGGTCATGGCATATTTATGTGATTATTGTTGAACTTTATTTTGTTTTTGTTTTATTAATTTTTTTTTAAATCATACTGGAGTATTATGAAAATATTATTAAGATTATATTTTTACAAGACACGAACATTGTCACAAGACAGTGATGGAAGTGAATTTCGTAACTTGAACAAACTATACAAAAATATGATTTTTAAAGTTAAATTCAAAATAAAACAAATGAGATGTAAAAGTAAATATACAGTAAACTAACCATAGAAAGGAAAAAATCACGTTCATTTGTGATGAGAAATAAGTATCAAGTTAAATGAGTAAAATAATTGAGTATGACCGTAATATGAGATATGTAGTTGTATACATTAAACCCTATAGAAAAAAATAGTTGAAGAGTCAAGTAGGTCGAACAAAATCTCACCAATTTGATGATATTTCAATTGGGACTTGGTCTTTGCAATTTTATTAAAAGTCTTTAAATGTCTTTCAATTTAAAAAATCTTATAAAGTCTTCCTTCTTTGAATATTGGGTGACTTATGCGAACTTTTAAAAAGTTTCGATTGAATACCTTTTAGGCCATGGATATAAAATATCCACTTATGACTGACCATATATATTTCTTTTTAACGCAAATTCCGACTCAAACTTAACTAAACCTCAACTATTATTATTATAATTAAATAATATATCAATTAATCATCCTCATTCATCACATCAATTCCAATTCAATGTTCATCAACTCATATAATTTTAGCTAGTCATCACTTTTAATAACTTCTTTCTTTCTTTTGCATCACATCAATTTTAACCATTATATTTGAAATATTATTGAAATACAAATTCAATATCCACTCAACTCAAACTCAATTAACTTTTTAAAAAATTAAGTCACTTTATCTAAAATAAATTCAATCAAATCTAAAATAACTTATATTAAATTAGACTCCCTTTTGACGGAGTGACTCACAGTCTATTATACATTTTTTTTTTGGGGTTAGTGTGAGTGAGTAACTAATAGTTAACATTCGTTTTTTTTTTTTGTTTTTTTTTTCGAAACAATAGATTGTATATTTCCACAACAAAAACAATGTTTGTACAAATCGGAGACCAATTGATCTAAAAAAGCTCGCACAGGTGAGGATCACCGTAGGCAACAATACCCAAGATACAACACTACTAATACCCAATCATCATAGTTTGCATTTTAATTGTTGGCAATGTAAAACTCATTGAAACCATCAGCTAAGCACAAACTCCAAGCACCAAAAAGGGTTCAACCACTGGACAAGAAGGCCTAGAAGAACCCCAAACTATAGGCAAAATACTGCTAATACATCAGGCCAAACAACAAGCAAAAAACAAAAGACTAGAAGTATCACTGCTACTAACAACTAATCAGAATAGATACAAAAGCAAGTTCTCTAAACAAATGCAAATTCCCTCTACTCTTTCCCAGCCAACTCAGCTACCACTTTGTCCTCCATCCAAGTCTCTTTAAACACCCAAAGATTTCTAGCTTTCCACAACCACCATAAGATGTATGTGGAAAGCTGAATTCTAGCCTCAGAAGTTGCTGTTTCGTTCAGACTAGAAAATTTGGACCTCCATGCTTGAAAGCTGCCTGTGTAGGGTCTCAAACCTTCCCAAGATACCGGAGCCAGCTTCCAAATCCTCTTAGCTCTATTACACTCAAAGAATAAGTGTTCTACAGTTTCAGGCATCTCTCCACATCATTTACACATACAATCTAATGTCATTCCTTTTCTAGTCAAATTACAGTTAACAGGGCAGAGTGTTTGTTAGGCATCTCCAAAGAAAGTATTTAAGTTTACCTCTCACTTTTAGCCCCCAGCTTCTCTTCCTAGTTGCCATTTGCACTTTATGTCATCTACTGCTCTCTGCAAGATCCATTATTCTCCATTTTTGAGCTACCAGTTGGAGTAGATGGAGGAGCCACTAATACAACATATTTATTTTATATATGTATATAAACTTTTGGGAAATGCTACGGTGGAAGTTGATTTAACGGTTACAAATTTCGACGGAATAGTTTTGTAACGGGAGCGTAGAATTTCCTAAAACTTTTATTAATAAATATTATATTTTAAAGATATTTTAAATAAAAATAATAATAATAGCAACAAAAATGTATTTTATTTTCTAACTATTAATCACGCTCAATTTTTTTTGAATAATGTATCTACTAAATTAAAATTTTCAACATAACCTGTAGTTCAATTGCTAGGTCTAACCTCTCAAGGTCTTCAAGGGCCCGACAAAACATTTGCGACCACATATCTAAAAGAGAACTAATTATTATTATTATTTTCAAACGATAGAGAGAGAAATAAAATTTCAGTATTATTATTTGCAAATTCCGCCCTTTGACTGACAATTTGGGGTGTTTTAGTATATATCAAGAACTTCAGGGGCCAAACACCAATTAACTCCAAAAGTTTCAAGTTTCACCTGGATAAGCACATTTGTTGTTGGGTCTATAATCATCATCGCTTATATAAATAAATACCTTTTGAATTTCACCAGTCCATCTTCCACTTCCATCAGCGCTCGGTATTTCTCATGGAGTTGCTTTAATGGCGGATTAATAAGTTAACTGGCTGACTCTCAGTTCTGACCTCTCACAGAGCAACGGCTTCAACTGGTACAAGCTTACTAATTTTCAGATTCAACTGATTCTGTTCTATCTTCTCAGCTTCTCTTTATTCATGCATACCTGCCACCGATTCTCTTGTTGCTGGCTTGTCTGTCCATTTTTGTTTCGTAATTAGGGTTCTTTCTGAGAAGCCTTTGATCGACTGCCCATATATGTGTATATTGTTTGTTGAGCTCTGTTTGTCTGGCTGTATTATTTCGTTCCAGCTGATTTTTAGTCATAAATTAGTCTGTGTGTTGATTAATCTTTGCATTTCATGCAAGCATTTGAAGAATAATTTTGTATTTGAGATATTCCGGATAGATAAGAACGCAAAATCGTGTCAGACAACCTAGCGGTTAGGCGGTCGACCAGACAAATGTTATACTTTCTTTGTCGACCAGAGAAATGTTGTACAAAGACGAGTAATGTTATACTTTCTTTATGCTGTTTCTTAAAGTATGTCATTTCTGAATAAAAGTATGTATATTTGTTGAAAAAAGTATAACTGCCTAATGGTTAGTACTTTTCCTCCTCATACTTCCTTCCTTTAATGTGCCTTTTGTGTTTTTGACTGCTGTAGAAGAAGGGTAATTAGCTTATGTGAAAGAGTTAGGAAGTGATGTATACATTTTGTGCAAAGACAACCAGGATTAAATGCAACGTCCTTTTGTTTATGGGATAATGTTTTTACATTACAATGTCATAGAGGTGCCTTTTATCTTCTTTGGAAAGAATTGTTCCTTCGTTATATGGTTATGCTTGTTTTGAGAGATATATGGAAGGAATATTAATTGTCTTTACAGTTTTGCACTGTGTTACCCGTCTTCTCTAAATCTTTCGAAATCTGTAATTTCCAAATCTAGAAGACCAATGCATGATCGTCACTCCTATTTTTGAAATATATTTTTACCCCTATTATTTTCACTACTTATCAACTTCTTGCATTTAGATATTTCAATCATTGCCCTACAACTAATAAATATATTTATATTCAAACACGTTCAGCTTTATGTAATTCCTGTTAGCATAAAATCCAAACAACTTCGAAAAGTCAACTGGGCATATTGGAAATTTGGAAATGAACATTGAACTGTCTCACTGTGCCTCTCAACTGAAGAAATTTTGTGCTAGCTTGATGATTTCAGTTTTAACATGGAACTTTCTCTTTAATGGCAGTTTGTTTGGTAAAGATCCTCATCAATACTGCTGGTTCTTCATGATCAGAACTGCTCTACAAAAAGGCTGCTTTTAGCTTATGCATTACAAGCATTCAGCGAGCTTGTTACTGAGCTAAGTATTTTCCATTGCTGTGCCAATTTTTGTGTCCGGTGGTCTTTAGAAGTTACCCACAGGCCACAGCATAATTTGTGGTTTCAACAGTCATTCCGTTGATTTTCTACTTGAAACTGGACAAATTCTACAGTCTCATATGGACCCATCAAACATTCACAATGGCACACAATATTTTTTGGAACACTTAAGCGAAAACCTAGGTCCACAGTCACTACCTCACAAGGTAGATGCTTCAGTGTCAGCAGCAAATACGTCTCTGAACCCTTCAAGCATCAATATTTCCGAAACTAAACCCGTGCGTAACTACTCCATACAGACCGGTGAGGAGTTTGCTCTCGAATTTGTGCGAGACCGGGTCAATCTCAGGACCCCATTCGTGGGAAATATCTCGGGTGACCCCAGCTGCACAACCGGCTACTTAGAGCTCAAACGCATTTTAGGCATCAGTCGAACCTCTTCAGAAGTCAGTTCAGATATTTCCACGGTTGCCACAATAGAAAAGACCTCAAGAGAATTTGAGAGAATGTCCATACAACAACGCACAGGTGACCACAAGCCTTCGCAGTTGGATCCACTCGCCTTGTCTCATATCGACAGCCATCCGAGACATGTGGACACCTCGTCTGGGGCTTCTCACACCTCCTTTAAGAAGCTCAAGATTCTGTGCAGCTTTGGCGGAAGAATTCTGCCGAGGCCGAGCGATGGGAAGCTCAGATACGTTGGTGGTGAGACACGCATCGTGCGGATCAGCAGAGACATCACGTGGAGAGATCTCTGGGAGAAAATGACAGCAGTTTACGGCGGGACCCATGTGATAAAGTATCAGCTTCCTGGGGAGGACCTCGATGCCTTGATTTCTGTGTCGGGCGATGAGGATTTGCAGAACATGATGGAGGAATGCAACGTCTTGGGAGGCGAAGGATCTGGAAGGCTCCGAATCTTTTTGTTCTCACGCGTGGATATAGAAGATGCATATATTGGCCTGGCAGACGCTGGCGTTAATTCAGAGATGAAATATGTGGTTGCTGTCAATGGACTGGAAATGGGCCGGCGTAAGGGCTCATCAGGGAACAATCTTAGTCAGTTGGGCATGGGAAATGTTGAGAAGGACAGTCATATGGAATTTGCGGGGGTGGATAGGTCTAGTGAGGCGGGCCTTGTTGTCCCGCCAACGGCTTCTGAATCTTCGAACCTTGTTTTGCCAAGTATCTCCAGAGTTGACAAAACTGGTTTGCAGTTCTATTCCGGTGAGCCCATGCCTCATATGCCTTCAGCAGATGGTGTTGTTACAAAGAATACTCATGGGGCTATTTCTCGAGAGGAAGGCGATGAAGGGAAGTTTCTTAGTAGCTCGGGTACACAGGTCTCAGAAATACATGAAAAGGAGATAAAACACAAATTCAATGGCTTAGTTCAACTGGAAAATGGTATCAGCAGTAACCCAAAAATCAAATTTCCTGCTGAAGGGTCACACGTGGTGCCCACACTGGATAGGGATTTGTCATCGAAGGCATCAAAATGTGAAGGAGTGCCCCAGGAAACAATGCAAGTCTCAAATCCTCTAGATGCTGTTAATCCATCCAAACTTCCTAAATCTGATGGCAATGAGTATGATACCACTGGCAATGCTTCTGGTTCTCGATCGATCATTTTAGAATCTGATCCAACAGAACCAAGCTGCTCAGAGACCTCTGTTCCTCCTCAGCTGATCTTTTATTCTGAGCGCATTCCTAGAGAACAGTCGGGGCATCTTAATAGAATTTCTAAGTCGGATGGCTCTCACAGTTCTCAGTTTCTAATTAATGAAGATTTAGTTGCTGAATCCGCTGGGAGATTCCAATATGGAAATGTTGATAATGCCGCTCATGTCGAGCCAGAAACTTCCAATAATGGACATCCAATATATCCACCTGATGTTAAAGGCATGAATGAAAATCAAGTTCCCATGGCTGAAATTGAAGCTGGATTAACGTATCCTGCTTCTGGATATGGTGGCGATCAGCCCATTAGTAATGATGCTCATGGCCATCCTCAACATGAGGGTGACATACTCATCGATATCAACGACAGATTCCCACGTGATCTTCTTTCGGATATATTCTCCAAAGCTATTCTTTCTGATGGCTCGTCTGGCATTGGTCCTCTGCCGAAGGATGGGACTGGTTTGAGCATGAACATTGAAAGCCATGAGCCTCAAAGGTGGTCATTTTTCCAGAGACTGGCAGGGGATCAGTTCATGAGAAGGGATGTCTCTCTTATAGATCAGGACCACATGTTCTCTGCGAAAGTTAACGATGGCGCTCGTTTGGCGTATGATTTTGTGCCACAGGTTAAAGATGAGAGCATGCCAAGTCATGGAGGATTAGAGGAGAAAGGATATCAGAGAGAGGTACGGGATGCAGATGCAGCTGTCTCTATGCCTGCTCCTTCGGATTATGACGCATCTCATGTGAAGTTCAGTGAAGGCATTCAGGATAGTGAGTTGATGGGTAATGTGAGAATTGAGAAATCAGATTATGAGGCTTGTTCTCAGGTGACTTTTGTGATAATAAGTATCCTCTGTTGAACGCAACTGATTTTCAGCCATATACCTACTGATCTTAATCAATATTTCAGGGGGGTTTCGGGAAAATTAGCTTGGCTCCTCTAGATCAATTGTTGGTCGATTTTGACATCTTCAACTCATTGCAGGTTAGTCCTTTTTTTGGCAGTATTTAACATTCTTCAAATGATGGTATCTTATTATATCAGGTTGATAATTGAAGTGGTTTAGTGTCATTCAACTTTGAACAATAATTGGGAAAGTATATTGTATGTTTTATTTAGCGGTGAATTAGTTATAATCTTGTGTTTGGTTCAAGGTTTTAACTTAATGGTTAAGTTTATCTAAAGTCATTAATTGTAATTCCGTGATTGTCTGGCGGATAAATTGCAGATTATACACAATGCAGATCTTGAAGAGTTAAAGGAACTTGGTTCTGGCACATTTGGGACAGTATATCATGGCAAATGGAGAGGCTCAGATGTGGCAATCAAGCGTATAAAGAAGAGTTGCTTCACTGGTCGACAATCAGAACAAGAAAGATTGGTAGTTGTTCTTTACGCCCCTCTCTCCTTCTCTGTTGATGCTATATAAATATATTTTCCCTCTAAACTTTGAGATATTCCAAATTAGTGTTGGATTCTCCACTTGTTTATGCTTAAAAATTTTTAAATGACAGTTATAAATCGAATTGAAGGAAGTTGATAACAATGTTTCTATTTTGAAAATATGAATGTTGCTGAAATTGTTAAATTGATTATTCTCACTTTCAGACTAATGATTTTTGGAGGGAAGCTGAAATTCTTTCGAAGCTTCACCACCCAAACGTGGTAGCATTCTATGGTGTTGTACACGATGGACCAGGGGGAACATTAGCTACTGTGACGGAGTACATGGTCGACGGATCTTTGAGACATGCTCTACTTCGTAAGGATAGGTATCAGTTGCTAACATTGTGTTTGTAAACCAACATTTATTAATATTGCCTCACACGAGCTCTCCAACATGTTTGACATGTAAGTTTGCTTCATAATAGGGTAATTATGCATTATTATGTTAACCTTGGATTATTAACCACTTTCAGACTGTTGTAATTATTTCAATGTGAAGATATTTATTTGTTCTTATACTAATTTGCAGACAGCTTGACCGCTGGAAGCGACTCGTAATTGCTATGGATGCTGCTTTTGGGATGGAATATTTGCATTCAAAAAATATCGTGCACTTTGATCTAAAATGTGACAATTTGCTCGTTAACTTAAAAGATCCTTCAAGACCTATATGCAAGGTTGTCTACTTGTCTTCAGAAACTTCAACTATTCTAATATTCTCCATAGAAGTTAAAGGAAAATCTTTGTGTACATTGCCTTGATATTTGTGTCTCTCATGGAATTTTATTTTGGAATAGGCTGTTTTAAGCCATTCTAGGATCCTATCTGTAATTCAACAAACGATCTTGATCAAATTTACGATTTAATGAAGTCTGATTCTGCCATTCAAATTTTAGGTAGGTGATTTCGGTCTATCGAAAATAAAACGAAACACCTTGGTATCTGGCGGAGTTAGGGGGACCCTGCCATGGATGGCTCCCGAGCTGCTAAATGGTAGTAGCAATAAAGTGTCTGAGAAGGTATGGTCTATGTGCAATTCGTATCTTCATAAACCTGGATTGATAGGTAAATAATTATTGTACTGGTTCAGGATCCTGCAAGTTCACTCCTCACCAATTTCTATAAATTGAAAAATATTCCCTTGTTTTTGTGGAAATTTCTATTTCCAGGAAAATGGATCGTCATAAAAATTAATTTTCTTGTTTGGCACTATGACCTTATAACAAGAAACTTCAACTATTCTAATATTCTCCATAGAAGTTAAAGGAAAATCTTTGTGTACATTGCCTTGATATTATTCATAATACTTCCATTTATTCTACTCACTAGTTGAAGCAACTTCATTGATCTTTATAAGTAAAGATATATTCATTCATCTGGCAGGTTGATGTCTTCTCATTTGGTATTGTCTTATGGGAGATACTCACTGGAGAGGAGCCGTACGCCAACATGCATTACGGGGCAATCATAGGTGTAGTTTTTTAAAATTCCTTGGACAAAATTTGGTGCTGCATTACCGAGTGTGACACTTGATGGTGGTCCCTTGCTAAATTAATTACATATTAACTAAGGAAGATGATCAAGTCCTAGAACATCAACTTTAGTTGCTATATCGCCAGCTTAATTTGATCTTGTAGTTTTCAAGGAATATACTAATTCATGATTGATTAATCTCATATAAATCTCGTTGTCTAATATAGATGTGAATCCATTGCCTGAAAATCTTTCATTGCGATAGGATATAGATTTTTTCACAAACTCGCCTGACAGCGAATAAAAGTATTTGGAGGAAGAGACAGATAATTTTTTAGATTGTGAATTGATATTCGATCTATTCCGAATCTCATTTGTTCCCCTATGAATTGCACATTTTCTCATCCAGTTTTCATTTGCTTTACGGGACTCGTCTTATTTCCTGCAACAACAGGAGGGATTGTGAATAATACACTGAGGCCAACAATACCGGGCTACTGTGATCCGGAATGGAGAAGGTTAATGGAGCAGTGTTGGGCCCCGAATCCAGTTGGGAGGCCTTGCTTCACTGAAATCGCTAGCCGGTTGCGGGTCATGTCTTCTGCTGCTCAGACTCGAAAGGGGAGTTCATAGGTATATTAAATGATGCTTCAAACCCTATTTTACAGAACAAAAGCTATTTATTAATTTAATTGTACACACACACACACACACACACACACACACACACACACCTGATACTACAGAAAATGCAGGATGCATGAGAAAGTTGTGAAGTAATGGCCTGAGATTCATGGGAAATATCATCATGCATGAATGTGGAGTTGTTTGTACATTACATCCCATGGAGTTGTTTGTACATTACATCCCACTATGGGCAAATTGTTTTGTTATGAATTTTATTGTTTTTGAGATTAAGTTATAATTGCTCTATCCATTATTATGGAGAAAATATTAACAAAAGATCATCTCTTTCGAAACAATTATAAAATAATCTCTAATATTGGACTTCATTTATGAATTATACCCTTAGATTGAAAGTTTATTTTGCTTGACGAACGTAAACTTTGAAGAGGTTGTTCGCAATACCTTGAGGAATTCTTTTTATGAGGCACATTGTTATATGAGTAA